CCCATCGAGGCTATCCATGAATCAACACCGTTCCATTGAGCGGAAGCCAAACGAGTAAAGAAAAGTACAGTGACAGAACAACACACAATACACCAATACCTCTGTTTCTTAAGTATGTAAAATACACGAGCCATTTAACAGTTAGGTTCAATTATTTTCTTGAAATATGAAATTGTTTTTACTAAACCTTCGTCTAACTTTACTGACGGACTCCAGTGTATCACTTTCTTTGCTAATGAAATATCAGGGCACCGTTGCAAAGGATCGTCCTGTGGGAGAGGTTTAAACACGAACCGACTCTTAGAGTTTGTAAGTAAAAGTATTTTTTCAGCTAATTTCAAAATATTAAATTCTTCGGGGTTTCCTAAATTAACAGGTCCTAAAAAGTCATCTGGAGTGTTCATAATGCTTATTATTCCTTGCACTAAATCTGTAATATAGCAAAAACTCCTCGTCTGTTTTCCGTCTCCATATAGGGTGATATTTTTTCCGGTCAATGCCTGCATAATAAAGTTACTTATTACACGTCCGTCAGTAGGTTGCATTCGTGGTCCGTAAGTATTAAAAATGCGAATTACTTTAATGCGTGTGCCATACTTTCTGTGGAAATCGAAAAAAAGCGTCTCCGCAGATCGCTTGCCTTCGTCGTAGCATGCACGAACTCCAATAGGATTAACATATCCACTGTATGTTTCAGGTTGAGGATGAACTTCTGGATCTCCATAAACCTCCGATGTAGACGCTTGTAAAATCTTTGCTTTTGTTCGCAATGTTAATTCAAGCATATTTAGTGCACCTAATACGGATGTTTTTATCGTTTGAATAGGGTCAAGTTGATAATGAACGGGCGAAGCTGGACATGCAAAATTATAAATCTCATTTACTTCATCCAAAAAAAAAGGATGTGAAATGTCGTGGTGTATAAAATTAAATCGGGGATTCCCGACCAAATGTGCAATATTTGCCCTACTCCCAGTAAGAAGGTTATCCATACAAAGTATATTATGCCCCGCCTTCAATAATATCTCACACAAGTACGACCCGATAAACCCAGCTCCCCCTGTAACCAACACCGTCTTGTTCATTTATTTAATGCTGTTTTATTAAGCACAAAGCTACAATCAAACAAGCACTATCCAAATATAGATTTTGTTATGATGTTGTAAGCACTTAAAATTTATAGTGATGCTTGGTATCAAACCGTGGCATCATTTTTGTAACATTTTGTATATAATTTCTTTGAGTTCCTCAATTCCCTCGTCCGTGTATGAGGATATGGGATGAATATATTTTCCTTTTATTTTGGGTAAAAAATAATTTTTGCTTATCAGATCTGCTTTACTCAAACAGATGAGTTGTGGTTTTAAAAGGATGTCGGGATTAAATTTTTTGATTTCTTTGATCAATATCTTATAGTCATGCAATGGATTTTCTTGTTCAGCAGAAAGAAGAAAGATGAGTACCTTTGTTCGTTCGATGTGGGCAAGAAATTCAAGACCTAAGCCTTTTCCCTCGGAGGCACCTTCCACAATACCTGGAATATCTGCGATTGAAAATGAGCGGTAATTTGAAAGGTATACGATGCCAAGATTTGGATTTAGTGTGGTAAAAGGGTAGCTTGCTATTTTAGGTTTTGCGTCAGTAATGATAGAGACAAGCGTTGATTTACCTGCATTAGGGAATCCGACCAAACCTGCGTCAGCAATAATTTTTAAGTTAAGATTAATTTGTTTTTGATTGCCCGCTGTACCTTTTGTTGCTTTTCTTGGTGCTCTGTTTAGAGCGGTTGCAAAGTGAGAATTTCCTTTTCCTCCGCGTCCTCCTGCCGCAATAAGACATTCTTGTCCGTGAGATGTCAGGTCTGCAATTTCTTCGCCTGTTTCGACATCGCAAAGCAGAGTTCCTAAGGGTACTTTGATGATTAAATCTTTTCCTGATTTGCCTGTTTTATTGGAGCCTTTTCCGTGTTCGCCATCTTCTGCTTTGTAGTGCTTTTTGTAGCGAAAATCGGCAAGTGTTGTAAGTGAACTATCAGCAAAAATGATAATGTTCCCCCCGTGTCCTCCGTCACCTCCGTCGGGTCCACCTTTAGGTACAAATTTTTCCTTTCGGAAGCTCACACATCCATTACCACCTTTTCCTGCCTGTAAAAAAATCTTCTCTTTATCGGTAAAAATCATATTTAGATTTTGCGTATTTGTCATTTGACTTCTTTTTACGGGAAGGGTGTGTCATTTTCAATGTCACTGTTTAGGCAAAATGCGTTCTCGATGAAGTCATAATTATAGACAAATTCCTTTTTTTGTATGGCGATTACGGAGTACTGCATGTTCATTTTCTCAAATTGGGCATGTTCTATCAAAAAAGTCTTTGATGTTTTGATAATTCGTTGCTGCTTTTTTGGTGGGATACTTTCTAATGCAGTACCCATTATATCATTTGTGCGTAGTTTAACTTCTATGAATGAAAGTGTGTTTTCTTTAGCAGCAATGATATCTATTTCGCCTTCTTTTGTTCTATAGTTTTTTTTAATGATAGTGAATTGTCTTTGTTGCAGGTAAGCAATTGCCAAATGTTCACCTTTTTGTCCTTTTGCATGAGTTAGTTTTTTTCCATTAAAGTTTTGTTTCATCATTTTCGAGCAAGAAAAATAAGAATAATCCCTATCAACAGAAATAGAGCGTTGGGTAACCACGCTGCAACAAGAACTGGAACAGTACCACTATATCCTAATGTGGCAAAACTTTTTTGCAAACCAAAATAAAAAAAACCGATTCCTATACTTATACCCGACCATAGACCTAACCCAGCCTTTCGCTGTTGAGATGCAATAGGAACCACTAGCATAGAAACAATCAAGCAAGCAAACGGAAATGAAATTTTTTCGTGCCACTTTACTTCAATTTCCTCTGTGCCGCCAAAGACTATTTTTTTTCTTAGATCCAAAAAATTTTTATGATCTATCAATGAAAGCTCTTCTGGTGTCTTTTTACTTGAGAGAATATCACTTACCGAGAATCCAAGTTTTACGGAGTCTTTTTTCACAAATGAGTTAAACGTAATATTGTCGCCTTTCATAGTGCGCTCAATTCCATTAAAGAGAACCCATTGGGAGTGGAGCGTATCATATTTCATCACTTCTGCGTCAATGCGCCGTGTTATTTGTCCCGTCTCGAATTCTTGAATGGCGACATTAGAAAATGTACTCGTTTCTTCTGAATAAAGTTTTACAAAAAGAAATCGGTTTGTTGAATCGTACAAGTTAAAATTTGAACGGCTCATTGGAGTGTATCCTGCACCTCCTGTAAATTGCTCTTCAAATATTTTTTCTTGATGCTTACTTTGAGGAACTCGCCACCCTGTGAGATAAAAATTAAACATCGTGCTAATCACACCGACAAGCAGAAATGGAAACATAAAACGGTAAAGACTGATCCCTGATGCTTTGATCGCAATAAGTTCATTTTGCTTATTGAGTTTTCCGACAGAATAAAGTCCGCCGAGAAGCATTCCCATCGGCAAAAGTAATGCCATTGTTTGTTCGCTTTGCTGCGCATAGTACTGAAAAATTATTTTAAGTGGAACATTTTTGTCCAAAAAAAAGTCAACTCTTAATGCAAAGTTCAACACGTTAAACAACATAACAAAGGATGCGGTTGCAAAAAAATACGATGAAAGGAAACTTTTGAGTATATAGGAATCAATGAATTTCATAACGCGTCATTTATTTGCTTACATAATGAGATAAAACGGGTTCGAATATTGCAAGTTTGTATCTTATGAGTTCATTCACGAATCACTACTAATTACCAATCAATATGGAGGCATCGCTCTTTCCGCTTCCTACAAAAACAACCTTGGAATTTTGAGATTTGGATATGCTTTCCAATGCTTTGATAGATTCATATTTTAGTTGTTTATCTGTAAGTGTGCTACTAATGATTCGCTGATAATCGGCAATTCCTTTGGCTTCAACTCGCTTTCGCTCTGCTTCTTGCTCTTCTTTTTTCAGCACAAATTCCATTTTTTGTGCCTCCTGTTCCGCATTTATTTTTGCCTCTATGGCTGCTTTTACTGATTCGGGAAGGTTAATATTTCGGATTAAAACGCTCTCTAAGATGATACCGTTTTTAGCAAAATCACTTTTTATACCTTCAAAAATATTATTCTGAAATTGTTCTCTTTTAGCTGAATAAATCTCTACCGCGCCGTATTGAGATGCACTTTCTCTTATCCGAGTTCGTGCATTGGGTTTAATTATTTTTTCAACATAAGAAAAACTTGTTCCAATTGTTTTTCTTATGTCTATAATTTTATCCGTGTCAATTTTATAAGTTACAGTCATGTCAATCACGACGGCAAGTCCGTCCGCACTTAATGCCTGAATCGCTGTACTTTCAATGCTTGATTCCGCTTCAACGTCAGACATAGTGTAAGTTTGTAATGTAATATCAAATTCATCTACCTTAACTAAGGGGTTAACGATATTTAACCCGCTATAAAGGGGCGTTTTTAAAACTTCTCCAAAAAGTGTCTGAACCCCAATTCTGCCCGCTTCAATAATTCTGACAGTAGAAACAAAACCACCAATCAAAATTAGTACGATACCCACCAACTTGAAGTGAACATTAAATCTCTGAATGCTTGGATTCGCGTTACTTAACACAAAACCCGAAATAAACAAAACGAGACCGATTAATATTATGCCCATATTTAATTTTTTTTTAATTATTAAGTTATTTGCACCTTCTACAACTTTTAAAAGTTACAAATTGATAAATCAAAGATAGTTACAAGGAATGAATTTTCTTCAATAGATATGCTTATTACAAGATTTTTGTGATGCAATCTAACCTGTTTTTGAGCGAATATTTGATATTTCAATAAGTTAGTTTGTTGAATATTGGTTTCCAGGTGTCCATTTTTATAGAACTTATTTTAGCAATTTAATCGTAAAAAATACTTTTCCTGTTCTTATTTTTGTGCTTCATTTACTTGTTGCCACCTTAGCTCAGTTGGTAGAGCAGCTGTTTCGTAAATAGCAGGTCGCGGGTTCGAGTCCCTTAGGTGGCTCATCTTAGTGGTTAATGGTAAAAAGTAAAGTGATAGTGGTGGTAGAGATGCTAAAACAATTAAAACAATTAAGGATAAAAAATGAATGAAGGTAAGATATCCCAAATTATAGGGCCTATTGTAGATGTGTGTTTTAAAGATACGGAGGATTTGCCTGAAATTTTGTCGGCGCTGCGAGTACAAAAGCCTAATGGTCAGGAGCTGGTGTTAGAGGTGCAGTTACATCTTGGTCAAAATGATGTAAGAACCATTTCTATGGATGGAACGGAGGGTTTAGTAAGAGGAATGAAAGTAATAAATACAAAAGCCCCTATTAAAACTCCTGTTGGGCCGAATACACTCGGGAGGATGTTGAATGTGGTCGGCGAGCCGATTGACGGGAAAGGGAAAATAGATTCTAAAACTTATTACTCTATTCATAGACCACCTCCAAAATTTGGGGATTTATCTACGCATGTAGAAATGTACGAAACGGGTATCAAAGTTATTGATTTGTTAGAGCCGTACTCACGCGGTGGAAAAACGGGGCTTTTTGGAGGGGCAGGTGTCGGTAAAACCGTTTTGATTATGGAACTTATTAATAACATTGCGAAACAACAATCTGGATATAGTGTCTTTGCAGGTGTCGGGGAAAGAACCCGAGAAGGAAATGACCTTTGGTTAGAAATGAAAGAATCAGGAGTTATAGATAAAACGGCACTTGTGTTTGGTCAAATGAACGAGCCCCCAGGAGCACGTGCGCGAGTCGCATTAACAGCGCTTTCTATGGCGGAGTATTTCAGAGACGAAGAAGGCAGGGATGTATTACTTTTTATAGACAATATTTTTAGATTCACACAGGCAGGCTCTGAAGTCTCCGCATTGCTTGGACGCATGCCAAGTGCAGTCGGTTATCAACCTACCCTCGCTACAGAAATGGGTGAGCTACAGGACAGGATTGTCTCGACCAAAAAAGGTTCTGTTACCTCCGTTCAGGCTATCTATGTTCCAGCGGATGATTTGACCGACCCTGCTCCCGCAACCGCTTTTGCCCATTTAGACGCAACGACCGTGCTATCACGACAAATCTCGGAATTGGGTATCTACCCCGCCGTAGATCCATTAGATTCAACCTCACGAATTTTAGACCCGAACATCATAGGAAAAGATCACTATGAAACTGCTCAAGCCGTGAAAAACATCTTGCAACGATACAAAGATTTGCAAGACATTATTGCCATTTTAGGAATGGACGAACTCTCTGACGATGATAAACTCATTGTGTCCCGTGCAAGACGCATACAGCGCTTTCTTTCTCAACCTTTCTTTGTTGCGGAAGCATTTACTGGAATGAGTGGTAAATATGTTAAACTGTCCGAAACCATTAAAGGATTTAAAGAAATACTTGATGGAAAACATGATACTTTACCAGAAAACGCTTTTTATATGGTTGGTACTATTGAGGAAGCCGTTGAAAAAGGCAAAAAATTGATGAATAAATAAGTAAATAAAACCGAAGTAGTATAATGGGTAACTCTTTCAATTTTGACGCTGTTACACCCTCCAAGTCCGTCTTTTCTGGAATGGTAACAAGTTTAACGCTTCCTGGAACGCTTGGGACATTTCAAATACTTATGAACCACGCTCCGTTTATGTCGTCAATTTCAGCCGGTCGGGTAGTGCTCACTTTGCCTGATTCAACAAAGAAGGAACTTAAAATCAATTCTGGGTTTTTTGAAGTGTCCAACAATAAAGCAATTTTATTAATTTCCGAAACTGACAGTTAATGTTTGATTTGGATGTTTGATCTTTATTTCGTTCTCGTTTGATTCTACTTCGGTGATCGTTTCTTTGTTACCCAACTCAATTTTTCTTATTTATGTCAGATTCGGATTATCCTGATAATCAACCAGAGTTTAAGAAAGGCTCTCATGGGTCGGACGAAGATATTAGAAATGAGTATTTTAATGACCCAAAATTTAGGCAAAGTTTAAGAAAAAAGCGCAAGCGTGTTTTATTCGGTCTCTTCTCTGTTTTAAGCATCAGCGCCTTTTCTTTATTCGGGTTTCTTTTTTTTCTAATCTACCTCTCTTTTACACTGCCAAGTTTAGAACAATTAGAGAACCCTAAACCACAGTTAGCCACCGAAGTTTATTCTGCAGACGGAGTTCTCCTTACCAAATTCTTCCTCAAAAACAGAACCCTCATAAAGTTTCAGGATATTGCGCCTTCGGTTACGCACGCTCTTTTAGCCACTGAGGACATCGATTTTTACAACCACTGGGGATTTAATACAGGTAGATTTTTCAGAGTTATGCTTGACAATATCTTCTCACTCCGAGAACGGTGGCATGGAGCAAGTACAATCACCCAACAACTTGCAAAAAATTTGTATTTAAATTCAGAACGAAGTATTACTCGAAAACTTAGAGAGTTGATAACATCTGTTCTCATTGAGCGAACATATACAAAAAATGAAATACTCTCCCTTTACTTAAACACTGTTTATTTTGGGCAAGGTGCCTATGGAATTGAAGCGGCATCATGGACATACTTTTCAAAGCCAGCTAAGGAATTATTGGTACAGGAAAGCGCACTGCTTATCGGTCTTCTCAAAAGTCCCACCCATTATGACCCAATAACAAAGGAAAAGGAATCTTTGGAGCGCCGTAATTTAATCCTGAATCTGATGCAGAAACAGGGATACATTACCTTCCCACAAAAAGATTCAGCATTAGCAACTCCAATAGCGCTACAATTCACACCAGTTACTGACGCAGGAATAGCACCTTATTTTACCGAATATATTCGTCAGCAGTTAGAACGTGAGGCACAAAAAGAAAATTTTAACATTTATGAAGACGGGCTTATTGTCCAAACAACATTAGATACACGAATGCAGGCACATGCTGAAAATGCAATAAAAAAGCAGCTTACCTTTTTGCAAAATGAGTTCAATAAAACTTTTTCATGGCATTGGGCGAATGCTGAACTTCGAAATACTTTGCTAAAGGAAACATCCTTTTTCAAGGCGCGTTTAGAATCCGGTAAAACGGAAACCGAAGTTTTTAATTTTATTCTAAAAAGAAAAAAACTTACTGATTCTTTGCTAAAAGAAAAACTTGTGGTTCAATCATCATTTATTGCGATTGACCCCGAAACAGGTCATATTAAAGCTTGGGTAGGAGGAAAGGATTTCTCAAAATACAAATTCGATCGCGTTTCTCTCGCTAAACGACAGCCCGGCTCCACATTCAAACCCTTCGTGTACTTAACCGCATTAAACGAAGGTGTTCCTCCAAATTTTATGCTCCTAAACCAACCCTTAGCTATCAAAACAGAACAAAAAATGTGGATACCAAAAAATTCCGATGAAGGTGACCAAGGCGGTGAAACTACTTTAAGAGATGCTCTCAAACGTTCTCTCAATAACGTAACTATCCGTTTGTCAATGAACTATGCGCAGCCGTCAAAAATTGAAAAGTTAGCCAAAGCCGCGGGAATTGAAACACCTTTAACACTTGATTTGGCTATGGCTCTCGGTGCTTCGGTCGTTTCACCATTAGAACTTGCAACTTCTTACGCGACATTTGCTAACAATGGAACTTATATTAAACCAACTGCTATAGTAAGTATCAGAGACCGCTTTGAAAATGAAATCACTTCCTACTCCCAACATCCCCAAAATAGAATAGACCCTGCTGTAAATTTTATCTTGCTTTCAATGCTGAGAGATGTTATTGACGACGGTACAGGAAGGGAAATTAGAAGCACCTATAACTTCAAGTATGATGCCGCAGGAAAAACAGGAACCACACAAGGTCAAGCAGACGCATGGTTCGCCGGGTGTACACCTCAACTTGCAGCCGTCGCTTGGTGCGGCTTTGACGACAACAGAATTAAATTTACGTCAATGTATTACGGACAAGGTTCAAAAGCAGCGCTACCTATATGGGCAATGTTCATGAAAGATACATACAATGACCAATCCATAGGTCTAAAACCTACATTTTTCAAACGCCCCACAAACGGAATCTATAAAATATTTATTTCAAAAAAATCTAACAACCCAACTATTCCAGGAATAGAGGATGGGTTTTTTGAATACTTTACCTCTAAAATGGTTGAAAAAGATAATGACCTCTCTTCCTATTTAGAAAAAGTTTTACAACAAACTAATTCTTCTTCTATCCCGAATATCAAACCGTTCCTTGAACAAAGTTCAGGCAATAAACGTGATGCCGCATTTTAGTTTTTTGCACGTCTTAACTATTATCTTACCAATTTAACCTCTTAACCATTTGGTTTTGCGATAAAACCATTTGGTTTTGCGATAAAACTATTTGGTTTTGCGATAAAACCATTTGGTTTTGCGATAAAACCATTTGGTTTTGCGATAAAACTATTTGGTTTTGCGATAAAACTATTTGGTTTTGCGATAAAACTATTTGGTTTTGCGATAAAACCATTTGGTTTTGCGATAAAACTATTTGGTTTTGCGATAAAACTATTGGTTTGCGATAACTTTGGTTTTGCGATAAAACTATTTGGTTTTGCGATAAAACTATTTGGTTTTGCGATAAAACTATTTGGTTTTGCGATAAAACTATTTGGTTTTGCGATAAAACTATTTGGTTATTTCTAATTCAGAAGAGGATTTACGATTAGTAGGTGTCCTTTTTTTATTTCCTTCAGAATTGAAAAATAAGTGTCTTTCGGCAAATTCTTCTTTGGATGTGGTACAATGACTTTTTAACCGCTTTTGCTTTATAAATGTGAAGACTATCTTTCATTTTATCCAAAGGTAAAATCTCCAATTTTGCAATTTTAATTAAACTTGAAGAACTAAAATTATTTTACATCTTCAGTTTGCGTATTGAGTTCCAACATGTTTTCGTTTTGTGGAATAGATGGTCCATTTGCTTTCAATGATTCTATGAATAGAGCAATGGTTTCTTGAGAATGGGGGGGATAGAATTGTATATTTGCATTCAAATAAAATTATATTTAAAAATTATGAA